AATCAAACAGAGACTTTGTACAAATCCTGGAAGACGAAACGACCTGATAAAAAGAAGGAAAATCCAAGGTAAGTCGATGTCGCAAAAAAGAACCCAGAGGGAGGGGTTTGTGGGGAGGGATTTGCAGTACTGTGAATGTTAGCTCACGTGATACTGACAGGTCACGTGCTCGTTCCCGCCAATTTCAGTTTTCCTTGAATTGGTTRGTGTGCAAATATAATGATTATTATGAGAACGAGTATTTTTGATCAAACGTAATTCAAATTGGAAAATCCGGAATCCTGTCCTGGAATAAGTAGTTGTTGGAATGAAATTAGACGTTTATTCCCTTTCAGAGTTCCCTGCGCCATCTTGAAAGGTAACCATGCCTTTGCATCGAAGCGAGATGAACGGTGAGCTTGCAATGATAGAGACCTTTTTTAACGCCATCAATTATTTACATGTCTCTATCATTGCAAGCTCACAGTACGTCTCGCTTTGATGCAAAGGCATGGTTACCTTTCAATATGGCGCAGGGAACTGTGTAGGGAACAATCATAACTTTGCTTCTGCTTCGTATTAGTGTCACAGCYATTGGTGCAGGAAGTGATTTTCTATTCTTCCTCCAAAGAATCGGTGTTCCCTGTGTTGACCTGCGTTTCGCTCCACAAAAGGTAATAAATGCTGATCACTCTCTTCCGTTTCCGGTTAATATGTGGATTTTGTCACGTGTGATATAGCACAATACCGCTGTCGTTTTGGATTGTAGACTCACTGTCAAATACGATAGCCAGCACAAAAATTTAAGATTATACGAATATTCGCAGAAACAAAATGGAACATCATATATATATATATAACAATTAGTCTCGTTCTGTATTAAACAGATATATCACTTGTTGCCGCCATATTGGTCGCATTGAATTCGGCATATCCCGAGTCACGACCGAAGTAAGAATCTTAAATCTGTTTCCCGGATCCTGCGCTATATTTTATCCGTTTCTTGGCTCCCGCAAATACCCTTTCACATCCTGTTAATAGAATAAAAAATTTAAATAAAACTGTTTCTTTGTATCAAGGAATATGGCCGCCATGGGTTTTGATTTTCCATTCTATTGTGAATAGTTGATCAATCAAGAAGTCTATAGAATAGATTAAGAGACAAATTACCTTATAACTCTCCAGTTTCGAGTTCTCCTTTGCTCAGTGTTAGCTTCAACTTTGTGCAAAATATATTTATGTGTTCCAGTGAAGGTCCGTGGAATTTCAAGGTGTTTGTAATGTTGAAGTTGTGTATTCTTTACTTTACCGTTGGTTTTTGTGAATATTTATTAAACACTGATATGAGGCTTACCCTGAGTAAATAAGTCTGTAGTCATGGAAGACAGCGGTAATTTGGAACTTGAAAAATGTCAATTGATGCCTTTGTCCCCACAGGGAAGTTACCCAGTGTATCACAGCATTCACGATACATTCCGCTGGATAAAAAAATTCACCGACCCAGACTTCCGCTACCACATTGCGGTTACCAAGGTGATTTTGCGGCTGACATTCAATTTCGTGGACGCACAAGTAGTTCCTTTTGACTTGAATCGACTAGCATCTTCATTAGAGGAGTATGGCAAGGACTTGGAGAAGCAGAATAATAAAATACTGTCTGCAAAAGGAATTTCACTGGGTGAGTTTTCTGTTGTTGGATTTTGACTTTCTTATTTATAAGTTCGCTTAGGTGTGTTTTATTGGCGACGACCGTTTATTGTTTGACTATAAATTTCCCCCTCCTTTTTAAGGAAAAGAAAAGAAACCTCAAATTTGTGTTTGATTAACTTCTCGCTTAGGCTTCGGCCAACCTTACTTAACTGATCATTCTTTAAATCCAGGGATAGCAGTGTCGGCGGGCCGAAATCGCTGACATAGCCGYAAATGCTTGACACTGCCATACTGCGCTTAAGCACTTGRTCAGCAGACATGGTCCTAAATCGTAAAACAACTTTTTAAAAATAAGTGAACTTGAAATGTGATAGTACGAAAGGAGTCTTAAGTGCGCATGCGCGCGCATTATCAAGGATTCCAATGTTCATSYGATTTATATATTACATATACTATGTCCTGTCTCAGGCTATTTAACTAAGGCTATYGACGAGTTCAAAACATCAGCCAAAGACTTCATGGACCACCTTGCTACACTTAACAATTCCAAGTATGTAAGCTTATGTGAACAAAATAATTCATGATGTATACGTCAAAACGTCTTTTGGAGAATACGAAACGAGAAATTTAGATGGACCAGTTTTACCTGTTTTCCTACTTTCAAATTATGTGCCTTTYAGAATCAGTTTGATAGGAGTAAGAAAAGAGATGATACCGAGGGAATGACACGTGGTCTAAAATAGGAAAACRACACGCCCATGTGGATTTGGCTCCATTCWCGCGTCGTGCTTCTCCTAACACTTCTCTCGTGTTCTGCCAACCCCCGCGTGCTTTATGACAGCACACAGCACGCGCGCGCGTTTTCTATTTCTTCAACTCTAGCTGGAAGGACAACACGAACCGACGGGCTGGTTCAAAAATCGCACATTATATTATCGTATAATCGTATAAATATTATCCTGGGTGTTTGGGTAGATATTTCGATTTGAGCGCAAGATATAACTATACGTTCCTTTCTTTAGACCCCTTCAGCTACGCATGGTAAATGATCGTCTAATTCATGTAGAGAGATCATTTATTGACACHGAGGGACTCCCTGGTAGACCTGCCATGAGGTAATCTYATCTATYMCTTATTGTATAGAAAATGACGTATTTTAGTGTTGCGCAATCGGTAGACAACAACACGGATATGAACACGTTGTACATRAATATGTWGCAGTGTGCCAATGTAATTATGTGTGCTCTGAATGGTGGAAGCGCGTGATCTATMAGCGTACRCAGAGAGCACGGAAGAAATGACACAATTTCCTTAGAGCACCATTTTTGGCAAACTAGCAAAATACTGACTCACTTTCAGTTGCGGCTTTTCAGCTCTATTGCTCTGTTGCTCACAACAATAATATATACATGCATGGCAATCCACGTAAGTAGAATTTAGTTAGGTCTCTCCCTTGATTCAAAGCCATTTCTCTGGCTTCTCCTGCTTCTTCCCTTCGCAAAACCTGACAAGCTAATTAAATATAGCCATCTATGCTGACACAGTACAGATACAATGAACTGCTCTTGGTTTATTTTGCAGACACCTGGTATTTGCACCTAGCATCTTTGACCTGTACGCTGGCAGCAAGTTCGCAGGAATCACAGACTCCATCTACACAGCCCAAAAGAGTAACGCAACAAACGATTGGGACCAGGTCAAGAAGCAGATCTCGATGGTTGTTCACGCAATGYGGTCAGCGGTTACTATCGTCAAACCAGCAAAACTGTRATTGCGTGACACAGTGCAGATGACCTGTCGTTTACGCACAGATTATGTGACTAGTGTAGATGTTTTTATCTGTCAGTCAGTTTGTATATAATGGAATGGTGCTCGGCTTGTCGGTCGTTCATTGGTTTGGAGACCTCCTTTCGCACGTTTGTAGTTTATTGAAGTGTCGTTCGGAGTTCTACCATGATCTGATGTCAGTTCTCTGCCTCACATTTGGTCGTCGGTCGGGTGTTTACTATGATCTGATGATAATAGGTTTTCGTTGTGTTTATCTTTGGTTCATCGTTCGTTTGTCTCAGTGGCTGGTCTTTTGGTCGGTTCTCTGTTTATTAGCTCTTTTTTGTTAGACGGTCGATCATCGGTCGGATTTCTGCCAATCTGCTGGTCGATTGAAACAAAGGAACATTACCAGAATTAAATCCACGTTTGATTATTTCTTAAGAAAAGACACGAAAACAGAAAGAAGGCAATAGTATTTTCCAATTTGTTTGTGAACTAGAATCTTGAAATCTTAAAGAAATTTTAACTTTTTGAYGACAGCTTGTTTTTGAGCTTCTTCTCTAGTCTTGTTTTTATGCATGCCATCTTTGCTTTGTTTAATTTTTTTTTTCTTTCAAAAGAAAGCTTCAACGGTTCATTAAAGTATGAAAAATTTAAACTGCTGCAAAAGTCATTCATTAATAAAATAAAACCCTGAGCAATTCAAACCCACATGACTTGTAGCACGTACAGGAAGACCTTCCAATGCAGTTCTCGAGTCTGTAAATTCTAATTTTCGTTTATTATGACTCCTCATTAGTTCGGTCCATACCATACTAATATGGTTTCTTTTCATTTTCCAATTTTTCGATAAAATTGCTTTCTACATATTATGTTTGTTCTTCGCTGATAGTTTTTAGAAAATCCCGAAAAGAATGAGYCTGCATTGAAATATTTAGCGGACTTCCACATACTGGAACCCCAAAAATCTGGGGTGAAAGATWCCCTCAGAGTCTTACCCGGCGACATCCCGCTGATCAAAAAGCTGGAAGACTCTTGGCAGTCCAGATTGACCGCATTCCTTTTTCGCTGACAGCCAAACAACTCACTGGCCTGAACTCTAAAAGAATAATTATTGGAGTTTTACCGGCCATAAGATGAAGTATTTAGTAGCCGTGGTAGTGGTGTTTGTCTCTGTATTTGGTTATTTCTTCTGSTATCATCAAGATGCAGATTTGACTCTTCTCTTTTACGAGAAGTTCGGTCGTGAACCATGTTCTGTTCTTGGTGGTAAAGTAGTGTGGATTACAGGAGCTTCTAGTGGGATTGGTGAATACTTAGCTTATGAATTAGCCCAATGTGGATGTAAACTGGTTCTTTCTG